ACTTTACTAGTTACTTGAAAAAAGTAATCTGATTACGTAACTCGCGTTACTTGTAATGCGTTACCCCCAACATTGTCAATGACAAAATGAATCTGCGGTGGTCAGGTTGTAATTTCGAGCTCTTATAATTTTGAGTGTACAAGTTGTCATAAGTTCCATAAGGACGTGAACATTTTTTACAAGTCGGCATCTCATAATTACAGTAATTCCGACATGGTGTGAACACACAAGTTAATTCAGCAAAATATTATTTGTTCAGTGTTCAGTGGATGTGTTTTTATCGTGTTTTGTACAAACCTAAACTAATTGCATGGAAAAGTTTTTCTTAAACTTAAATTCACTGAATAAACTTTTTATTTATTTATTCGAGTGCAGTAGTTTTTCTTTCACTGTTTACTGCTCAACATTTTTTTTTTTTAAATAAATGTCTTTTGGTTTGGCAGTATATCCAGTTCAGATGATTTAGCATCAGAGCTCTTCAGGAAGTAATTAATCTCTGACCTTCATGGATGATGGTAGCCTTTCAGATGAAGTGTTGGTATCAGAACTAATATTAGCTGATGCAAACCTGCCAATGTCATCTTTGCCCAGCAACTGCACATAAAGTATGGAGCTAATATTATGACAAAACTATTTGAATTTGAATTGTGTTAAATTTGAATTATTGACAAGTGTTATTTAACAAAACTGAATATTATGTGGGATTTAAAATCGTTTTGAATTAGATTTTGATTTTAAATTTGAATTTTTTTTTTAACTTGAATATTTAACATTTGAAATTTAACACAAATTATTTTTTTTTAAGGCAGAGTTTTATAGACATGTATTTTCAAACAACAGATTTTTTTGTTCTGAATTCTTAGACTGCAAATATCCAGTTTTTAAAAATACAGCTTCAAGTTTTCAAGATGAAGAAGAAATTCGGAACATCAAATTCCGAATTTCTAAAATTCAAAACGCAGAAATTCAGATCGTACAGAAAGTAGGTCAGAGGTCATTCACAGGGAAGAGTAGATCTCCGAAAAGTGGAACAAAGCATTTTGGCCAATTAGAGCTGCAGTAGTTTTCTGGCGCGAGCGTGCGGCTCAGAAGGTCGCCATTCTTCTGCCTGATCATGAATCGCCCAGAGGTAAGTGATTTTTAAGCATTTATGGTTTATATTTAGATATTATGCTAGCGTTCCCAGCATGTGAAACATTTGTTTAAGCGGTCTCTGGTGTTTGTTTTAAAGTATATTTGGTCGAGCGTGCGGCTCAGAAGTCGCCATTCTTCTGCGTGATCATGAATCGTCCAGAGGTAAGTGATTTTTAAGCATTTATGGTTTATATTTAGATATTATGCTAGCGTTCCCAGCATGTGAAACATCTGTTTAAGCGGTCTCTGGTGTTTGTTTTAAAGTATATTTGGTGTAAAAGTGATTAGCATGCCACCGTGTCTATACTAGACGCGACTGCGCCGCGCCGCAACAGCTTGAAATGACAAAGCGGCCGTTGTAAAGAGCTTGGACTATGCCAGAAATAGAACGGGGAATCCGTTTGCTCATCCGTTTCCAGATGAGGCTTGCATAGCCTGAGTATGTGAAAGAGACTCGTGCAGAAATCAAAAGAATTGAGTGCAAGCACGGGCCTACGTCCTCGGGGAACTAGGCCAGAGGGGGACCCAGCCGAAATACCGCTCCTCCCGGAACGCGGAACGCGCCTGCCCCCTCAGATTTTTGAGCCAAGTGGATGTTGAATGCAGCTTCCCAAAGACAAAAAAAAAGAAATAGCCAAATAATAGTTTTTATATTTAATATACGATCACACCAGTGTGATTAGAACATTCAGTGCTGCACGTCTGCTAAATTCAAATCATTCAAATCTGGATGGCGCTGAGCCAGAGACAGACGCGTTTTTACAGTTATGTGCATTATATCCAATCACTCCAATCACAGTTGTGCTTATGAATGAAATGATCAATCAGAGGCGTTCAGATGAGTCTTTGCTGAAACGCTGGTGTTCTGCTCATCGCGCACGCTCGCTGCTCTCTGGCGAATTCTCTCACCATAAACAACAAAGTACAGATGTGCATACAATGTAAGAGATTCATTTCACAGTGTAAACAGCTTCAGTGATTATAATTCCAGTTTTTGAGAGTGCTTGAACTCTGGCTAGACTGAAGTCAATGATAATGTTCTTTGATAATGATTGATTCTTTGCTCTCTTTCTGTACAATGAAATAGTTATTAGTTACTTACAATGTTTTGACTAATTCACGTTAAATACAAAGTCAGTCCTGTTAAAAACTATTTTATGACATGGTTAATTTGTGGTTACCATAGTTAAGTATATAGTTTTTGTTTTTAACTTGTAAAACCATGGTTAATTTTTAAGGGTATGTTAAGCTTAACTGTCAAAAACGTATGTAAATGAAGTTTAAGCAAACAGCACAAAAAGGCTAATGGTGTAAAAACGTATAACACTTTTCTGTTTTATTTTTTTGTTGTGTGTGTGAGTAAATGTGCATATTTGTAATAACTTACAACAATGAGCTACCAAGTGTCAGCTTTGCAAAAGAAGTCCCTCATGAGCATTAACCATTTTGGTCTTGTCATTTATGCACTCCTTTTCCTAAGCTAACTGCTGTCTTTATTTTTACAGGTACAGATACTTCTAGAGCATATATGGGGGAGACTTCGGTCACGTTTGGAGCACGCCCTTTCACGGATGCCTGTGGATGTGGACTTCTTAGAATTTATCTGTGCTCAGGAGTTGGTTTTCCTGAGTGCTGTATCCCCCCAGGTCATCATTCCTGTGGACATATGGGAAGGCTTAACTGGTCTGCATCATGCTATTACTTTAGAGAGGCAAAGAAACGAGACACATGTTGTGACCGCACAATTTGAACAAGGAAATAGTGGACGACTGAAAGCAATCATTGGTCGTGAGTATCTTGTCAATTTGCTTGAAATGAACTTACCAGTCAGGTGTATTGCAAGCCTATTGGGGGTATCTGAACGGACTGTACATAGACGACTGGCAGAGTTCGACCTATCAGTGAGATCACTGTACAGCTCACTAACAGACGATGAGCTAGACACATACACTGGTTTCTTTGAGTCCTTTACGTATTTGTTTCACCTGCCGTAATCTCCTTCCAATGACCTATTGTATTGCATATATTAGATTATTAGGTTACATGAATACAATTAATATTATAGTACACCAATGCTTAAGTTTGAAGGTTAATTAAACAAAAGAAAAAAAACAACAACAACACTACCGCATATGATAAAAGGCGCTCAAAAAGCCACTTCCGGTTTTCTTTGGTTGGGCCAGGAAGATCCCACGCAAGACTCAGGTCAAGGACAGCTTGATATTCACTGCTAGTGAGTTCAGCCTCTCCATCAAGCTCCATGTAGAACAGTATAAATGAAAGTAAAAAAAAAAAAAATGAATGCAATTATGAATTGTTTAAATTACAGCTAAATTATGCTACTGTATGTATGTATAATGTAAATACCAGTTTTATGGTTTCACGAATATCATGGTCAGGACAGTCTTCTATTTGCACTGTAGCAGTCTCAGGTGAACCTCCTAGTAGTACATGGACTATTGCTTGGCTGACTCCAGCCAGCCGAGGTCCACCATGTAGGAAAGAATGTCCAATCATTCGTCCTGCAACAAGGAACAGATCACTCTCTACGAGAAATTGTGATGATGATGGAACAAGATGACCTGGTTCACCGTCAAAGCGACAGGTCCTTGCAGTATTTCCTGTTTTAAAATAATGGGCTAAAAGTTATATTTTGGATTCAAAGATTAAACAAAATACTATAGTCAATGTTCCATAAAAAAATAGCTGACATACCCATGTTAAAATTAAATCCATGCTGAAGCCTCTGTATAACAGTAGACAAGAAATGTCTGGTTACTCCCTCACCAATGGCAGCATCCCCTGAATGTAACAGCAATTTACAGCAACAGTCCAAAAAAAAGAGAGAGAGAGAGACATGGCCATTAAAATCTAACTAGGAATGCCACTAAATAAATGTATTTACTTGTTTAATACCACCTTGGAGTCTGCACTTCACAGGGCTTGCCCATTCTATGCCGTTTTGTTTGTAGAATGCAACAAGTTCTCTGTCTTGATCTTCCTTGTCCATCCTCAAATCCATGGTCATCAAGAGGGGCTTTCTCATCTCATGTTGGCAAATTATTTCCTTTGTGTATAAGGATGCTGCTTTATTTTTATCTGGTTCAGTTTTCCAATCTGCAAAAAAAACACAAAAGCAACATGTCAACAGTTCAGCTAAAGCTAATTGTGTATTCTATTTCAGTTTTACATCTCAGAAATGTATTATGCTTATCAGTTCCAAAAAAAAGAAAAAAAGAAATGCATACCATAACTCATGCTTGTGGCTTCAGCTGCATTTCAATGATCACCGGTATGTGTCACAGGCATGGAAAATCCAGATGTAGATGGTTCCTCCATAGACGCATTGAATTCCAGAGGTTGCGTGCTTACAATATAATACACAAACTTCATTACCACACTTGTGTGCAATGAAGGAACAAAAGTCCTTTATAAATGGATGACCTCAAAATTTCTAAATGAATTGAACATTCATAATTTTAACATAAAACACAATATTCAATTCACAATTGTATAGTGAAGAAGACCTGCGGCAATCCTAACAGCACACATAATGAAAGCACAAAAAACAACAAAAAATAAAAATCACTGAATTGACTGGAAATATGTTGAGCACTTTCAAAAAAACAATTATTTTCCTCACCTGTCACATGTGCAAAAACTTCCGTGAATCTCCATCACATCAAGAGGCATTTCATTTTGACAGATGGGGCAAGTTGCCTAGAGGAAACAAACAAAAACAATATAATATAACTTTTCTTTCATGTTGTTTCAACCATGTATGAGTTTCTTTACCATGGATGGGACAACAAGATATTCTGAAGACTGATCATTAGATGTGAAAAAAAAAAAATCTTCCAATTATTTATTGAATTATTTTTTGTGTTTTAAAGTTATACAGGTTATGAATGACACATGAAAGACTAAAAGACAGAATTTTCCCTTTAACCTGCATATGCAAGAAACAAAAACACAGAGAAATACAATGTGTTATCAGAATTATTTAGATAATTTGCTGTTTCCAAAAGCAGCTCTAAAAAACTGTTTTAAAAAAATATTTATCATACCTTATTAAACTTCCAAATTATGTATTTAAATTAAATTAACTATTTTAATATATCTTACTTGATTGGTCTGTTCAGCTTCATCAGTTGTCACACAGGACTTTATGTGTGCAGTCAGGATGACTAATGGATAAGTGATTCCACATTTCTGGCATTTCTCTTTTGGCATGTCATTAAAGCTTTCAGATTCAGGTGGCAGAGCAGTGGTGTCAAGTTCCATTTGAAGAGGAGCTATGTAAAGCACTCCTTTAAAACCTTGTGTTGCTGCCTTCAAATGCTTGGCACTGTACCCACTCTCATCGGGTGGAATAAGGTTGAGCTTCCGGGAGCCCCATCCTCCTTAAAAAAAAAAAATAATAATAATAATTAATTAATAAAGAAATTACACAAAATACTAAAAAACACAATGTGTTATTGGATTTTATTAGATCATTCCTTGTATTTTGTTATGCCAGGATTCATGTTTTAAGCTTTGCACAAAGGTATTTACTTACACAAAATATGGAATATGTTATTAGTGATTATGTGAAAATTCAGAAATGTATTTGATGTGAATTTTTTTTTTCATTGCAATGTATCACTATGTTCCTGATGATTACCTGAAGATTTATAGACAAGCCAACCCCCCTTTACTTCCTGAAATTTTGGGAACAGCTCCTTCAGTTGGGCACATACCTTACAATGTAAATAACACTGAGTAAAAATTAAATGCCCAACAGTTACAAGTGCAACACTGGTACAAACAGCTTATAGTGTTTCATTACAGTAATGTGCTAAAGAGCACCTCAGCACCCATGTTCCAGCTATACAGAGTTACTAATGAATTAAGCTCTGTTACATTAGCAAAAGAGAATTTTAAAAGATGCAAGAGAAACATCATGCATACTTACTTCATCATAAGTTGCATTTTCATCCATTTGCATTGTCTTTCGCCCCAACCCAGCTTGCATATGTACCAGTTGCTCACTCTCCATAGGTGTTCGCTCATATTGGTGAGGAAGCAGATAAAAGTTAACAGGCAATATTTTTGCGGGTTTGCTAGGGGGCACTGACAGCATTCGCCTTTTACCCCGTCCTTTGCTGAAAAACCCAGGAAATGATCTGTTGGCAAAAAATTTCAATTACAAACCAAAATAATTACCATCAAATAATGTAATGTTTCTTTATGTCAATATTAAATAAAAATAATGTAGTTGCAAAACCTGGTCATCTCAGTTTGGATGGTGGCCCTCTGCTGAACAGTGTGCTGCCTATGGAGGCTGAATCATTAAATTAATTTAATGAAAGTAATTTAATAAAACTATGTATGCACAAATACATATACATAACAGGGAATTCCTTTACCACACTATCCTTACTAACTATCCTTACCACAATAATAAATAAAAATACACAAAAAACCTGGAATTATCCTGACTGGGACCAGCTGCACTGCCTGAAGTCAGCAAAGACAACAAGTGCCTGGCTGACCTGACAACTTCACTGTCCTGTAAAAACAGTTTAAGCAGATTTTTTTTTTTGTATCTTATGTCATCTTATAAACATTCATTATTGGTCTAATGGTCCGCTGTTTATAATGCTTTTTGCTAGATATCAGTTCAGGGTGCAGGGTAATGGTACTGAACATGAGAGAGTACAATAATTAGTAATTAAATGACTTACAATTTGAGATGCACTGATTGCAATTGTTTTGGCCGATTCCAATTTCCGTTTTTTTTGTGTACCTGCTGATACTGATTTTTGTCAATTTCTAAGAACTACAGTTGACAGCATATACAAACAATCTATAGTTGTTTTTTTTCAATGCAACATTTTTTATTCTTATGAAATCGATGCATCATCTTTCACATTAAATTCTCACATTGTGTCAATTAATTCAGTTAGAATAATAAGAAACTGTGGAGTTGTTCAAATGAAATTAGTATCAACAAACTCCATCTTTACACTGCAGAGGAAACAGAAGCTGCATCTGAAGTGGCATTAGATGTATCAAAGTCCCTTTAAGGGATATTCTATAGTCTTTGGATGTATTTACACAGACTGTTTCATGAAGCTGAGGTGTCAAAGTGATTTATTACACCACAAAATTGCAGATACACGAATAATTTTATAAGATTAATGTTTTAAATATAAAAAAAAAAATACAAATAAGAAATGTTGGGAAAATGCAAGGTACTTTTTAAATGTGAAAACCAAACCACAAGTAGGTGGCGGCAAATGACTGTTTAAATAAGTGAGTCATTCAATTGATTCGTTCAAACGGCTGATTCATTCGGAAACGAGGCAAGTGACTGTCTTTATGAATGGGTTCATTAAATGAGCAAATGATTCAGTAACCTATTCAAAAAAACAGTCACTTGCCTCTGCAGTAGTGTTGATATTCGGGGAAACGTCCTAAATTTAAAACGTCGTTACATTTCAAATGTTAAATATTCAAGAAAAAAAAAATCAAATTTAAAATCAAAATCAAATTCAAAACGATTTTAAATCCCACATAATATTCAGTTTTGTTAAATAACACTTGTCAATAATTCAAATTTAACACAATTCAAATTCAAATTGTTTTGTCATAATATTAGCTCCATAATAAAGTGCCATCTGCTCTGGGGAGTATCCAATTGGAAGAGCATTTCTTTGATTCTTCTGCTTAGTCATGAAATAAAAAAACTTATAGGTTCTCTGCGGTGACTCACTTCCTCCTCGGCACAATATGTTCTTGTGTTAACCTTCCTCTCAAGCTGTCATTCTAAACAACAGTTTGTTCTGGCAATTGACACACTTACTCAAGTGCTCCTATAATTGAAGGGGCACATAGATAACATAAGGCTGAATACACGTAGCCAGTCTGTGATAATTAACTCTGTACAAGCAGTTCCTTAAAAATAGCCGTATTTGCCTTTTCATACATTCAGTATACTGGAATATTGGGATAGTGATGGTTCGTATAATGAGTGGGCCAGCAGCAAATGAAAAAGCACTGTATTTTAACATATAAATCATCTGCTGCAATTAGGATAAAGATTTAGAATGTAAGAGGTGGAAATGAAAATGTTATGCCTCACAGGGTCTGTTCATTTTCCCTGTACAAGGGACAAAAGTCTAACATAGGCTAAAAATCTTCAGTGGTCTTTTAATAATGAGACCTGAGAGTCTTGAAAAGAGACGTGCTGTCTATTATTACCAGGACATAAATTAAGGAAAGAAGGAGAGCATTACAGACAATAGAGATGGAATTATTCATTAGGATTCATGAAGAGGTGAAGCAGTTATTACATCAGAGAATTTTTCAGAGCTCTTTATTCTTTCCTGGTTTTAGGATTTAGTTTACCTTTCTCTGACAAAGATTATGATTGATTATGAATGCATGCAAATGAGTACAGATATAAAACTGCAGCTGTATCAAACTTTTTGTTTAATTAATGCACTTATTTATGTTCAATATACAGATTTTTTTCTTATAATCAGTAAATGTTTCCTGTTTCCCCGTTTCCTGATATAGCGTTCTAATAAAAGGCATTGCAATGGCAACAAATTGCTTATATTCCTCTATTGTGAGTCGCTTCGGAAAAAGTGTACTACAATAAACGCACAAATGTAAAGAATGTAAAATGTGATTGAATAATAACAGACAAATCAAAAAATAGAATTCATGCAATTACCAAATAATAAACAATAAAGACACAAGAAACAACATGCCACTGGCAGACATCTGCTTTAAAGGGATAGTTTGAGAGAGAAAGAGAGAGAAATAAATCTCAAAATACCTTCTTATGTTCCAGAGAAGAAAGTCATACGGGTTTTGAAAAACATGAGGGTGAGTAAATGATGAGAAAAGTTTTTGGATGAACTATCCCTTTAATTCTGAGTGCTTCACTCATTTGTTAACCTAAACAGTGTTAATGCTTCCACAAATTCCCCAATTGAAATAAACGTTTAATATCCAAAATAAAATTATTTCTGTGATCTCATCTAGGGCCCAACAAACCAGTCAGTGGGAGCTTTCCACTTTACCACTTAAAGTGCAGGACACTTAACCCCAGCGGGACTGTCAGTGCACTAAGAGTTCTACAAGTGGCTTTGGGCGAAATACCTTTGCTAAATAACTAAATATATAGGCCAGTACAGATTAACATACAGGAGGTGGGCATCCAACAATGGTAGGTGAATGAAATGTTAATGCAATTGCAGATATTTTTCTCTATTTCCTCAACCACACACCTTTTCTCTAAAACCTTGCCAATCAAAGCAAACCTGAACACATAATAGGGGAAACGTTTTTTTATTAGCTAAAAAATGTTGTTGATCTTTAACATATTCTCTATAAATCACAAGTCTCTATGTGAAAATATTTGAAAAATTCCCTAAAATGTGGCATGGTATATGGATGAGCAGTCAAAAGTTTGTACTCACACAACAGCACATAAAGACCTGTGTCTGTTCTTTTATTTCGAAAACTTCAGTAAAAGAAACCACTGAAATGCAAATCAAAATAATTATTGCCGTTTGTGGTATATGGATGAGCTATCAAAAGTGTGTACTCACACAACAGCACATAAAGACCTGTGTCTGTTCTTTTATTTCGAAAACTTCAGTAAAAGAAACCAAGTTTAAATGCAAATCAAAATAATTATGCAGCTCCAATATTAAAGACACCCTGTGGTGAAAATCAAGTTTTTAAAGGGGACATAACACACAGTTTCACCCAATCTCATGTTGATCTTGAGTACATATAGAGTAGTATAGCATCGTTCATTGTTCCAAAGAGTCTTTAGTTTGATCACATTTATAAAAGAAAAATACAGCTTTCCGATTCTCTCCGAAAACAGCCGAGCTCCTGGAGGCACGCCGTGGGCGGAGTTAAAGAGTGACGAGCACTTGCCTGATTGCCAACAAAACACAGACATTTGATGCCGTTTCACTTACCGTCTGGAGCTCTGAATCATGACCAGGATCTTTTATAGCTGGGACCGCATCTTCCAGTATCAAGTGATGTGCAAATCCAGCGCCGAACTGGGCCTTGTTTATAAAACGTTAGTCAACAAACACACTTGCAAAACTCCGTTGCTGCCCCGGAAAAACAAACTGCATCCACTGTTCACATAACGCTGGGTTCTTACAAGGTTATCTTTCCCTTACAGCCAAAAACACACTTCTTTGGAGACATTCTTCTCGAGCGAGTCCCGTTCAGTGCAGCCGAATGAAGTGCGTTGATGGGCGCACCCTTGCTCTCGCTCTGGGCTGTGTTTCCCAAAAGCATTGTAAGCTTAAGTTGATCGTAAAAACGATCGCACGAATCATCTTGGACTTGTTGACCTTATCCCAAAACCATCATAACTTAAGTAGCACTTGAAAATCTTCATAGATCTACGAGTGCTCTGGAGTAATTGTAAATCCCTACATGCATTGTAAGAAGACAGAATTATGAGGTCACCTGCAGGACAATCGGCAGATTACACCTTTAACTTTATTCAAGTGCAATGTGATTATAATTAAAGCTTTTGATTGTACTTTATTATACATTTTATTACTCCTGTTTTTTAAATTAATTTATAAATGAAATAATTAAAAAGGGCAGAAAACAAAACAATACAAAAAAAAAATAGAAATACTCATCTAAATTAAATGACTGAAAAAAAAAACTAATAAAAGAAGTAATATAGGAAATAGGGTTGTGACGGTGAGGAAATTTTCCCACCGGTTAATCGAAGCACCCGGTATCACTGCAGGGGCGTTCCCTCTTTTCCTCGCTTTCCTTTGCTTTTAAATAGCTTGTAAAAGCGGCATTTTACTTTCACTTTCAAATAGTGGCAATTCGGAGTAAAGCAATTGTTCGTTTTTAGTTGATTAATTTTCCCTCTTTTCCTCGCTTTCTTTCGCTTTTAAATAGCTTAAAAGCGCCGTGCTCATTTTACTTTCACTTTAGAATTAGCGGCAATTTGGTTTCAATTGCTTGAATGCAACAACAAAATACAACGTCAAACTCACTTTAGCGTATATATAAAACATAGAACTTTTATTAACAAAACAAATAAAAATACACCATGCTATAGGGCAGGCTATGCCTAATATAAAATAACAAATAACTTACATAAAGTTTAAATGCACAAAACTGGAAATAAGTAAACATGTATAATATATAACCAAATAAATAAGAAACGTAGAACGTTTTTTCAATCAAAGACAATACATGCATTGTCATATTTGAAGTTGTTTTATTTAGACAGTGTTTTATTGCACTGTGATTTAACAGAGGATGCCATAACCTATATTTCCATACATGCAAAAACGGGCTGTACAAGACAAAAGTTTAATACTAAACAAAGCACAAAAAAAAAAAAAAACACTGGTACACTAGTGTTAGATTTGTTAAAAAAAGGTATTGCTCTAATACTAAATAAACATCTTGCACTTGCAAGTCCTTTCTAGTGTGTTTGGAAAATGTGGTGTATACAATGCTGGACATTGAATATAAATGTACACATTTAAACTAGTAATATTAGTAATAGTAATATTGATATTCTGAAATGTTTAATGCTATTTAAATGATAGTTTTAGTATTTACAATATTAGTCAAAATGTAACGTTTCTCCTAAAATAAAACTGAAGACATCTTAAGACAAAGCTGATATCTCAATGAGACATATAAGAGAATAGTATCCTGAGTGTTGAGTAAGCTCTGTCAGAGGCATATCCTTGTGGGCAGCACATCGATGTGAAGACTCAACTGCACCTCAGACAACATGGGTTCGAATTCCAGCTAAAGGTACTTTCCTGTTCCT